TCCAGAGAACTGGGTTCAATTCCCGACACCCACACGGCAGCTCACAACTGTCTGTAACTCAGTTCTTGGGGATCTGATACCCTCTTCTGACTGCTGTACTTATGCACAGATATACATTTAGGCAAAACACACACACGCATAAAATAAAAATCTTTTCTTTTTTCAAAGTCTCACTGCATAGCCCTAGCTGGCCTCAAACTCACAATCCTTCTGCCTCTGGCAGCCTGAGTACTGGGAATTGTAGAGGTGCCTCCAACATGCCAAGCCTAGAAACAATTTGGATTACGAGTTCTGAAAATTCAAACAAGAAATTACTCACAATCTCAGGCACAAATTCAAACTTCAGTAAATATTAATTAAAATGTCTGCCTCCCAAATATTCCCTCTTTTAAAAAAAAAGGTACATTTGGATACATTTACATTCTTGCAGATTTTTATAACAAGATTTTGACCTTTAAGCGTTTACACTGGTATTTTAAAAGCTAAAAATAGAACCCAAAATTATACAATGAAATGTGCCCTCCAATCTATTCAGCAAAAATCAAAGTACCCACCATTGGAATGAAAGAGAAAGCACCGAGTTTATTCAAATTATTCAAATCACAGCAACAGCATCCTTTTCCCCCTACTTCAGCCACATCCCCTCATGTTTTCCCAGCAGTTTAGCAGGGAAATGAAGGTTTGAGAAGTGGTGAATCTTTTCCTCAACAAGATCTGACTTTTGCACTAAGTCTATAGCATCCAAATCAGTTACACGCAAATGCCATACTTAAATGCCATAAGATTCATTTCGTGAGCCAAGCATGGTGGCGCACGCCTTTAATCCCAGTACTTGGAAGGCAGAGAGAAGTGGATCTCTGTGAGTTCGAGGCCAGCCAGGTCTACAGAGTGAGTTTCAGGACAGCCAGGGCTACACAGAGAACCCCTGTCTCAAAAACAACCCCCCCCACACCAAAAAAAAAAAGATTAACTTTGTGAAAGAATTTTTATTTTATAAACTTTATTATTTAAAAACTTGCAAATACAGGCTCCAAAACCACAGAAAAACCCTGTCTCGAAAAACCAAAAAATAAAATAAAATTAAATAAATAAATAAAAACTTGCAAATAAATAAAAGGACCCAAAATTAACAGGACCCAAAGTCTACAAAACTCAATGAACTTTTATACAGTTAAAATTTACACTTTGGAACATAAGCTTTTGGTTTTGGTGGTAGATAAGTACATAAAATATCTTCAATACTGAAAGTATAAAATTTAATGTGAGGCTCCACTGTTTCTGTTCTGATCCCCCCACCCCCACTTGGTTTTTCGAGAAAGGACTCCTCTGTGTATGTAGCCCTGGCTGTCCTGTCCTAGAACTGGCTTTGTAGACCAGGCTGGTCTCAAAATCAGAGATTGCCTCTGCCTCTGCCTCCCGAGTGCTGGGAATAAAGGCGTGTGCCACTACCACCAGGCCTTAATGTGTTTCCTTATTATGTTCTGTGTGTAGATGTTTGACCTGCATGTATGTCTGTGCACCACATGTGTGCCTCGTGCCCAGAATAGGGCACTGATTCCTGGAGCTGTAGTTACAGACAGTTCTGAGCCGACACGTAGGAGCCAGGAATCGAGCCCAGGTTCACTGGAGCGCGGTCAGTGCTCTTAACAGCGGAGCTGTCTCTCCAGCCCCAGTGTGAGTAAAGGGGAAATGGTTTTAAGGGATTAAAGTCAGAGACCAGCCCTCAGGATGTCTCTTGCTTTCCTTGGTAGTAGCGAATAGCAGAGCATGTGTATATGTGAGTGGTGTGCATGTATGTTTGCATATTTATGTAGGTTGGTGTATGTATGTCTAAGCACCCACACACATATGTGTAAAGGCCAGCTGTGGGTGTTTCTCCATCATTCTCCACCTTATATATTTAGGAAGGGTCACTTGATCCCAGAGCTCTGATTCAGCCCCTCTAGCTAGCCAGCTTGTTAGTCTAGCTGGCCAACGTGTTCCAGAGCCTCCATCTCTGCCTCCAAAGCGCTGAGATTGCCAGCCCAGCATTTACAAGTGTGCTGGGGATCCACACTATGGTGGTCCTCAATGATTGTGCCGTCAATGTTCTACCCACTGAGCCGTCCCCTCGGCCCGGGATCACACCGTCAGTGCTCTACCCACTGAACTGTCCCCTCGGCCCAGAATCACACCGTCAGTGCTCTACCCACTGAGCCGTCCCCTCGGCCCAGGATCACACCGTCAGTGCTCTACCCACTGAGCCGTCCCCTCGGCCCAGGATCACACCGTCTGTGCTCTACCCACTGAGCCGTCCCCTCGGCCCAGAATCACACCGTCTGTGCTCTACCCACTGAGCCATCCCCTCGGTCCAAGTGACAGGGCTTTTGCTAAGATGTCTAGACTAGCCACCAATTCACAATCCTCCTGCCTCACTGTCTGATGGGCATAGAGGCATCAGTCACCCATCCCCACAGCTCACAAATTCTCTATTTTGATATGAGTTCCAATAAATTCACATACACTCTTAAGTCAATTTTATCCAGTATACATGTGATGTGAACTAATATTAATGAAATATCCTATTCAGATACAACACAAATCTACACAATAGTGGAAACCCAGAAAACTACAATTATTATGTGAACAAGGGGCTGTCGACTTCTTGGTACTGTTCTCTACTGTAAATCTAAACGAGGCCCCAAAATGAATACAAGACACTGGAGCTCTTGGAACCTTGGTCTCTGTTCCCAGTTTGCAGCTGACAATAACTGGAATGCCAGAGGCTAGATATGCTAGAAGTCTCTAGCTACATAAAATAGGGCAAAATATTACAATCAAGTTGAACAAAAAAGTTCACCACGTCACGCCATAACAACCTGGCATCTTGAATTCTTCCTTTATATTCAATGGTTACTTTAAAAAGAAAGTGTCACGTGACATGTAACCAACATCAAAGGCCAGACGCCTACCCAAAGCACTTCCCTTAACTTGCCTTTTTTTTTTCCAAATCAAATTTATCTGAAACTAGGGAAGCACAAAGCTTACAGTCTCTAAAAAGAAAACAAACAAACAAACAAAAAACAGTTGTTACTTCCTGTGAAGATAAAGAGCTGATGGTTGGGGAGACCGCCCGGTGGGGAAAAGCGCTTGCCACACAAGCCAAAGGAACTGAGTTTGATTCCCCAAAACATATGTTTAAAAAAAAGGTACCTCACTATACCTATAATCCCAGCGCTAGGGAGACAGAGATGGGAGGATCCCTAGATACTGCTGGCCAGCCAGTCTAGCCAAATCAGCAAGCCTGGGGTTCAGTGGGAGCCGTCTCAAAAGACAAGGTGGGAAGTAACTGAGGCAGACACCCAGTGACTAGCGCTGGCCTTCACACACACACCTGCACACACACACATGAACATATAACACACACAAACACAAACAGCTGAATCAGCTAAGCAAAACTTTCAAAATAAGCAAAACTTCCCAAGGTATTATTTTAAAATTACTTCATTTGGGGCCCAGTCAGGAAAGCTAACCTCCAAGGCTGCCCTAAACAATTTGTTTGGGTCTCCAGCGTCCTTCAATTCACCCAGAACATAAAACTGTCAAAATCTAATGGCAATGACAGTGCAGAGCTGTGTTTGCTCGCAACCACTAAAGTCAAATAAAACTTAGGTCTAGAAAAGAACAAAGGCAACGTGTCCTTAAGTTTCCTCTAACTTCCCTCATTCTACACGTCCCCTTCCTCTTCTTGGAGAGGAGAATGGGATGCCAAATTAACAGTCAGAAGGCTGAGAACAGCTAGTTCCCGGAGGGTGCAAGAATTTACAATACACACTAGGCAGGGAGCTCGGTGGGCGCGCACACACACGCGCACGCACGCGCACACACACACACACACACACACACACACACACACCAATGCTCAGAGGAAGCTTTCATAAAATGTCACTATGTAACAGAAGTTTTAAGGTCTTATTTAGGCCTAAAGCCAGTCCTATCCAGTACACTGTAAACCACAGCCTAGAAAAGCTCCATTCTCCAAACCCAGAGTTTCCGATAATGCTCCAAAGAGCACGGATTCTGGACCCCTTCAGTACTGCCGCCTCTCACGTGGAAGGCAGGCAAGCCCATGTGAATCCAAATGCCACCACATCAGTTTTGTGACAGATCCACTGGGAGCATCCGACTGTGATCCAGGGCCCTCGGGGCCGCGGGAAGAGGAACACAAATGCAATCTTCGGGGCCCTCCTACTTCCGTTCTCAAAGCAGAAACGCTATCTTGTCTAGCCTCAACCCTGCACCTCTTCCAAAAGCTTCGACCGAAGGCAGAGCAGATCGTGGCGGTCAAGAGTGGCTAGAATAGGTGGTTCAACAGCCCCTCCAGCCCCGACTCTGTCGAATCCGCCGCCGACGCTTCCCTGAGGCCCATGCCCCCTCCTCCGCGGCCGAGGGCCGCTGAGAAGCGGGAAGAGGAACTAAGTGACCCGCAAGGATGCCCAGAAAGCTGGCGTGCAGGGGGGTGGGGAGGTGGGCGCCGACGCGCAGCGGAAGGAAAGGGAGAGGAAGAGCGCCAGAGAAGGGACGCGACTTTAGCGATGCGGCGGTGCCCGGGCTCCGGGAGAGGCGGCTGTGAGCCAGGGCAGAAGAGGCGACGTCCCCTCTCGGCCACGCCTCGGACTGCGGGCGAAAGGCTGCGGCCCGCCCCGTCGAAAGGCGCGGACTGAGGGCCCGCGGTGCTCCCGGAGCTGGCTGGAGTGCCCGGGGTCGGCGGTGTACCCAGGATCTGTGGGTGTACCCGAGAGCCAACGATGCACCCAGGGTCGGTGGGTGCTGCCGAGGGCTGGCGGGTGTTCCCGGGTCAGTCAACGCTCCCGCAGCCGGCGGGCACTACCGGGGCCAGCGAATGCTCCCCGGGTTGACGAGTGATCCGGGGTTCAGTGGCCGCTCCCCAAGACCGGTTCTCTCGCCCCGCCGCCGGGAGAGGCGGCTCCGGGAGGCACCGGGCGACCGGGCAGCGTTACCTGAAGCGGGGCGAGTCCTTCAGGCACTCCTCGAAATCCACCGTCATCTTCATCTTTCCTCCGCCTGGCCTCGCAGGCGACGCCGGAGGAGCAGCGGGAGCTGCAGGAGTGGAGGAGCGGAGGAGCGGTGGCACCGGGGATCTGGGCGGCGTCGGCGGGCGCTCGGCCGCCTCTAGCGCTGCACGGAGCTGCGGAGGGCACCGTGCACCCTGGACATAGCAGCCGCGAAGACTGCAACAGCTCGGCAGGCCCAGGCCGCCTCTTCCTCCGCCCCAGCTGAGCGCCGGCCGGGGGAAAACGCTCCGGAGTGACAGCCGCGGCCAGCCAGCCACCAAGCCGCGGCCACGGGAGGGGCTTCCGGCAGCACCGCCCGCGGGAGGTGCACGGCCACTGCGACAGCCAACCGCGGTGCGCTGGTGTCGTTAGGCGGGATGCGCGGGTTGCTAGGAGGCTGGCCACGCAGGCGCCCTGAAAAGGAAGGAAGTCACGTGGCCCGCGTCTCTCAGCCCCCCCCTCCACCCCCCACCCATCCCTCACCCCCTCCCTTGGGTCTGAAAGGAAGATGTGCTCTTTAAAGCAGCTTTGGCAGCAATCAGTAGAGATCTAAGAGCAGAAATTATGACAAGGAAAGGATTAGACTAAGCCTTTCAGTTTAGAGAAACTGAGGCCGGGAGAGGCGTGAGGGCACGTTTGATAACCTTTCGCGTATTGGTTCCACCGCTTAATGATTTGGAAATTGCTTCTACATACATCTTTTCATACAATCAGGGACCGTTCCCTGAAAGAAAGTACAATGGCTAAACGATATTAAAAGCACCCATAAAAGTATGAGTGTATCTGTAAAAATGCATAGGTGGGATGTTTGAACCCAGTGGTTGTGAACACCTGGAGGCAACTTCTAGAGTTCTCTCCTAGCTTTCCCACTTGACAGGGCGCTCATCTGATAGAACTGTCCAGTTGACACGGCGTCACACGTCCAACAAGCGTTGGCTGGAATTGCACTACCGTCTTCTTTGCAGGTTAGTCAAAGGTCAAGCCTCAGCTGGCTCACTTTTACTATCTAAAGTCTGTAACCTTTGGCCATTTGCATATGTTAGAGAGTGGTTGCACGCTAGCCAGTTTTCGTAACCTCCAGTTAAACCTTGATCTCTTCACATTTAGAACGTTCCAGCATAATCTGAAACTTTTGAAAGAACACACATTGTATATGTTTCTTTTTTCGTTAGAAACTGTTCCTCTTTTTTTTTTTTATTGAATTCTACATCTGTATGATCTACATAGGTTCTCTTGATAGCTACAAACTATCAATTGTTAAATGCTCAGTATCCTCAAGTATATCAACTGGTCAGACTAATCCTTTCGAGGAATGTAACTCTACCAAGAGAATTAGCCATTTATACTGCGTTTAATTGCATTGATTTGTGACAGTCAGCATATGCACTCAGTTATTGTGCCAAGGTTTCATCATTCTGTTGCAAGACCCTTAAAAGTGGCATGGGAGGGGGCAAGTTAAAATTCAGCTGCACAAGATCTTAATGTGAGGCCAGCCTGGGCTACATAGTGACACCCTGTCTCAAAAACACAGACATGGTAACCAAAACCCTGTGGTACTGGCACAAACCCAGAGAGGCAGAGCAGTAGGATAGCACTGAGAACCCAGAATGAAAACCACACACCTACACTACCAAATCTTTAAACAGCTATGTCAAAACATAGCTGAGATATGGTGCTCATACCCACCACAAATGGTGCTGAAGAACCTGGACATCTGCATATAAGATAATGACAGTAGGGTCCGGAGCAATGTCCATAAGTGGCTTACCACACAATTACAAGACCTGTATTTGGATCCTCGGCACCCATGTAAAAAGCTAAATATGGTGGCATGTGCTGTGGAGATGGAGAGAGGCTGAGCTGAGGAGCTCCGGGCTCAGTGAGAATTTAATCTCCAAATATAAGGTCAAGAGCGGCTGGGAAGACATCCAATATCTACCTTAACACACAGGCATGTGCACACGCATGAGCACAGACACATGCATGTGCCACGCACATATCCCAAAAAAACTTCCACATGGCATTTTTTTAAAAAAAAATAAAAATAAAAACAGCAAAGTAAAGAGACAGCCTATAGAATGGTAAATGTTTTTGTCAATTACACATATGGCAGGCATTAAAATCTAGAATCTATAACAAGAATGAAACACATAAATGAATAACCCTGCAGGGTCAGCATAATGGCTCAGCAGGAAAGACTCTTGCCACTAAACCTGAGCTCAATCCTGGATCCCACACTGGAAAGAAAGTACAAGCTACCAAGTCTGTGTGTGCTTGACCTGCATACATGCTGTCAAAAGTTAATGTCCATACTCACACACTCATGTGCTTTACACACACAATAGTTTTTATTTACTTTTTAAAGTATGTGTGTTTGTCCCTGGGAATATATACCGCCTGTGTTCTGGTATCTGCAATGGCCAGGTAAGAGTGTCAAAGCCGCTGAAACTGGAGTTACAGGTAGCTGTGGACTACTTGATGTGAGGAGTGGGAAGTGAACTGAACTCAGGTCCTCTGAAAGAACAAGTGCTCTTTTAAGCATTGAGCCATCTCTCCAGTCCCAACACACACACACACACACACACACACACACACACACGCTTTTAAAAAGAGAAGTACAAATTTTAATTAAAGGGGGAAAACTCCAAAAGTTAAACACAAAAAGAAAAAAGAATATTCTTTTAGTAAATAGGATAATGGGTTGATAGACATTTCTCAAAGGAAGAAAGAAAAAGAAAAAAGTGCTCGGTATCCTTAGTCATCAAGGAAATGCAAATTAAAACTGCATGGAGATTACTTTTCACCAGAGTCAGAATGCTGATCAAGAAAACCAACCACATGCTGGAGAGATGGCTCAGCGGTTAAGAGCATTGCCTGATCTTCCAAAGGTCCTGAGTTCAATTCCCAGCAACCACATGGTAACTCACAACTATCTGTAATGAGGTCTGGTGCCCTCTTCTGGCCTGCAGGCATACACACAGACAGAATATTGTATATGTAATAAATAAAGAAAAAATTAAAAAAAAAAAAAAAAGAAAACCAACCACGCTGGGTGCGGTGGCACACACCTTTAATCACAGAACTCAGCCGGTGGATCTCGTGAGTTAGAGGCCACTCTGGTCTACAGAGAGAGTTCCAGGACAGCTAGGACAGTTACACAGAGAAACCCTGTCAAAAAAAAAAAAAGTAAAAAAGAAAAGCAACCACAATAAATGCTAGGGATGTACAGAAAGAGAGGAGCCCTTCTGCAGCACTGGGTGGAAATGTAAACTAACACAGTCACCATAGAAATCAAGACAGAGGCACCGCATAGACTAAGCTAGGATTATCATGATCATGAGATGAGATGAGATGATATGATATGATATGATATGATATGATATGATACACCTACACCATTCCTAGATATACACATGAAGGATTCTCAGTCAGCATCCCATGGAGGGACCTGCACACCCACGCTTATTGAGATACTCCTTAGCATAGCCAAGACAATGGAACTAGCCTCAAGGTCTATCAACAGATGAAGAGAGGATAAGGAAGAAATTATGATATTTGCCTATAAATGGATGGAGCTTGAGATAATTATATTAAAAATGAAGTTAGATGGTATCTACCGCCTTATACAATAACTAACTCCGAATGAATCAAAGACCTCAATGTGAAACATAGGCAGTACCAGTCCCCTATGTGTTACAGATGGGACTTCGCGAAACTTAAAAAGAAAAATTGCACAGCTAAGGAAATAATCAAGTAGGGAGGAAACCCACAGAACAGGAGCAAATCTTTGCCATCTGTCAGCTATGCATCTGAAAGAGGATTAATATCCAGAATAGATGGACTCAGAAAACAAAGAATTAAGAAAACAGACAACCCAATTAAAAAAATAGACAGGGCTCTGAACAGAGAGTTTTCAAAGGAAGAAATAAAAATGGCTATGAAATAGCTCAAAAGATTTTCAGCATCCTTAGCAATCAGAGAAATGCAAATCAAGATAACTTTGAGATTCGATCTTACCACAGTCAGAATGGCTAAAATCAACAAAACATCAAGCGAAGGGAAGACTATGGAGAAGGAAGGACCCTGACTCCTGACTCACTGCTGGTGAGACTGCAAACCTGCACAAGCCACTCTGGAAATCAGTGTGGAGAATTCTCAAAAAGCTAAAAATAAATCTACCATATGCCCAGCTGTAGCATCCTTGGCTTCTGGCCAAAGGTCGACATCCTACTCCACAGATACTCGGGGCTATAGAAGAGAAGTAATCCAGATTCATAAAGACAAACCTAGTATTTTTGCTCATGGGCAGAATCTACATTTGAATTTATATGTTCATGTAGTTGTTCCTAGATATCGTATGTAAGGGGGCACAGTAAAGAAACCATCAAAATCTTCAGTCCATGATTAGGAGAAAACGTTTTTATTGTGGATAAGAGAGGAAAAATATCCAGAGGCATCTGGAAGAGTCCAGAGCAGAGAGAAAGCAACAGACTAGACGTGGCCAGGGCTATCTGCCAGAGAGGGGAGAATAGCAGAGAGGGGTGGCAGAGGAAGGGGGGACCTCAAAGGTATCTAGGAGGGGAGAAGCCTGTGAACAGAAGCAGGCCTGGGAGTTCAGGGTAGAGGCAGAGTTGAGAGGGACCCGGATGTCAATGTGGAGTGTGAAATGCCTAAGGGGTACTTGTGAATAGGAGCCTAGGAGCCCGGAGGCTAGTGTGAACTTTGAGATATGCTGATAGCCCCCACAGGTATCTCAATGGGGAACTAAGTGTCCCTTTTCTGCCAGAGGCAAGGGAAAAGACTCCTTTTGGTGGACAAATTGGGAACCTGTTTGACAAGTTCCTGAGGACCCCTGGCTTTTATCTAAGCACCTGAAATCCTGCTGTCCAGCCTGGTGGGTGAGTCAAGACTGTCATTGCTGGACTTGTGTGCTTCCTGAAGCCTACCCGACATAAATAGCAAGTAGAAATGGTGAGGACGACAGGTACAGAGAGTAGCAGAGGAAATGAGAAGGTAATGGAATATGTGTGTGCTGGTTAGTTTTGATTGTTTTTCTCAACTTGACCCAAGCTAAAGTCATCTGGGAAGAGGGACTGTCAATGGAGGAGCTGTCTCCTTCTGACAGTCCTGTGGGTGAGTCTGTGGGGCCCTTTCTTGACTAGTGATCTATGTGGGAGGGCCCAGCCCACTGTGGCTGGTGCCCCTCTAGGCGGGTGGTCCTGGGTTGTCTAAGGAAGCCAGCTGAGCAAGCCATGGAAAGCAAGCTGGTAAGCCACATTTCTCTGTTCCATCTGCTTTAGTTCCTGTCTCCAGAGTCTTGCCTTGGCATCAAGTAATGGTGGCTGTAGCCTGTCATCCATATAAATCCTTTCCTCCCTAAATTGCTCCTGGTCGTGTTTTATCACAGCCACAGAATGCAAACTAGACAAAAGTTGGTTCCAGACAGCGGGCTCTCAATGTGA